AGACTTTGCTGTCGTGTGACCTTGAACAATCTCTTTAACTTCTCTGTGCCTCAGTTTCCTCAGAGGCAAAGATGACTTAATCATGGTGTTTATATCTGGGGTTGTTAACAGTGATTATATGAAAGTACATTTAAGGGCTTAGCACAATCCTTGGTAGATAGCAAGCCATAAAGTTTGCCTCAATAATATTATTATAGTTACCCACTTTTTAAGAATGGTCAAACAATATCTTGGGGGCAGAAGAGTTAACTTTAGAACTGCAGAATGTGGAGACTGAAGAACAAGCCCTACTGAGCCAGACTTTGCCTTCCTTGGTCACCAAGCATTTTGCCATCTTGTCTATCTTCAGTGTTTTTAAGCAACAGAGATGTGAATATTGGTACCTACATTGCTTTTGAGAACTGTGGCCATAGCTAAGTTTTAAAGTGAGCTAGCCTGGTTCAAAGGCAACAGACTGTACTTTAGTGCTTTGAACCAGTGACTATAGGCAAGGACCATCATGGTTGGGATCCCAGGCTCTGGGGCCAACCCACACAGGTTCACACCCTGGTTCCACCACTTTCTAGTCATGGGCCCTTGGGCAAGTCAGTTACTTACCCTTTCCACGTCTCAGTTTCCTTGTTTATCAAACTGGAGAGTAAAGAGTGGCTTTCTCAGTTGGGTCCTGCAGAGATTATATGGCACAGAGTGCTTAGCACAGTGCCTGGCCCAATGTAAGACCTTAAAAAAGCCTTAGCTCCATTTCCTCTTTATTGAACTTGTTGCTTCTTTTCTCTATCAAATTGTGTGATTTCTATCCAGCTTGTTTCTGGATCTCCTTACAGAAGCGCAGAGGGTTAAAGGTAACCCCTGAAGGGCCTTTGTCCATTGCTTCCACTAGGGGGCAGCCCAGCCTCAAAGGGAGCCTTGGGGAAAGGTTACCCACGCATACAAGCTGGGGTTCTTTCCTGGGGTCCGTATCTTCTTGAAATAACTTTTGGGTGGACTGAATTTTCATAACTTCCTCTTTCCAGACCATCGTGATGAGAGACAAAGGAATACGCAAGGATGTTTTGGGGCAGGACTTTGAACCGATTCCTTGGTTAGGCACTTCTTCCTTTGGAAGGGAGGTTTAAATCTGCCAGAGAATGTAAAAATTAGGCCAAGGTGATGGAGCAACTTTTGGTTCTATTCTCTTTTTCCATTTCTCCCCGCTCTACACCCTCATTCTCATTCATTATTTATTTACTCGTTCTTACTAAAAACCTTCTTTGTGCCAGGCACCGGGAATGCAGAGGTGAAAAAGGTGAACAGCATTCCTGCTTTCATAGGGGCTGAGAGTCTGCTGGGAAAGAGGCATTAAATGATAATTATACAACTGGCGACTATATCTAACCCCGTTGTGATAGAGCTTGAAGCAAAGCTCTGGGACTGTGTGATTGTGCAAATAGAAGACCCTAGGGGTGGGGTGGTGGTAGGGCAGGTTAGGGCAGCCCTCTCCGAGAAGCTGAGACCTGGAGGAAGAGGAAGGGAGAATCCAGGACTCCATTTTCTGAGCAGGTGCAGCACGTACAAAGGCCCTGAGGCAGGAATGATCTTGGCACATCTGGGGAGGAGCCAGAAGGCCAGGGTGGGGCTGCAGCAGAGGGAGGGAGCGGGAGCGGGAGTGGTAGGAGATGAGATCTGAGAGGCAGACAAAGCTCTGATCATGGGGGGCTTTGTGGGACATGGTTAAAAGTTTGAGTTGTAGTTGCACGGGATGCCACTGGGGGGGTGGGTTGGGTTTCAGCCGAGGAATGACATGGTTCGGTTTAAGTTTTGAGATCATGTCAGGCTGCTGTGAGTGCTGTAGGGGGATCAACTGTGAAAGCTGGGTGTGGTGGGCAGAATAATGGTCTCCCCCAAATGTCCCCATACCAATCTCTGGAACCTGTGAGTCTGTTAGGATACACAGCAAGGGGGAATTAAGCTTACTAATCTGCTGCTTTTAAAATAAGATTATCTCCCTCTCACACTCCCCCTGCTTGTGTTCCCTCTCTTGCTGTCTCTCTGTCAAACAAATAAATAAAATCTTAAAAAAAAAATAAGGAGATTAGCCTGGATGACTAGGGTGGGCCCCAGGGAACCACAAAGGTTGTTACATGGAGAAGAGGAAGGCCGAGAAGTCAGAACCAGAAAGATGCCAAGTGAGAAAGAGTCTAGGGGCCATTGCTCACTTTGAAGATGGAAGGAGACGGGGGCCCGAGGAATGCGGGCATCATCTGCAAGGTGGAAAAGGCAAGGGAACGATTCTCCCTGAGAAGCTGCGGGAAGGAATGCAACCCTGCCGGCATCTTGGTTCTGGCCCCGTGAGACCTGATTCAGACTTTTGACCTCCAAAACAGTAGGGCAATAAATGTGGGTTGTTTCAAGTCACTGAATTTGTAGTATTTATTATAGCGCCAATCTGCAATGAAGACCACACGAGACCTATAAGAAGACTACTGTAATTGTTTGGATGAACTTTGGGAGTGGCTTGAGAAGCATTTGTTTACCTTCCCTACTAGGTGTTGAGATCTGTGCGAGGCCCTCTGTCGTGCTGGTCATCAGGCCACTTGTTACTTCTGCACAGGCAGGATTTGGCCTCTCCCGAGTGCCTCTCAGTATATTCACTCTGCAGTACACCCAGTCCTCATACGTGGGATTCCATGTCACCCGGAGGAATCGACACTCGGTGGCAATGCCAGGAGCAGACAGCTTCGGAAAATTAAAATGGCAGGGCACCTCCCGTGGGCCAGCATGAGATGGTGAACCAGGTGCTGAGACCGGAAGAGGGATGAAAATTGGGACCATCCCAGGTTTGACCTGGCTGCCCAGCCAAGGTTTGGCTGCCCAACCAGGTACACAGATGAAACGCAGATGCTTGACCCGGGAGAATACACAAAGCCAATTCTGTACTTCCGTCTCCTGACCCCTGATAAGAAAATCTCCATTGGAACAAATAATACACACATCTGTATTGGGAGGGGAATTTTTCTTTCCGTGGCTTCTCCAGGAATGATGGGTGATGCCCGGGTAGTCTTTATGCCTCTTTCTGCCTGTGTCAAAACTGGAATTCAAAGTGTGTTGGTTCAGGGACCTGTTTTTAGAGGGTAACTCTCCAGGCTCAAATATCCAACATCCACGAGTGTTTTTTATGGATTGGTAGTAGCCAATGAATGTGGATGCTGTTTTAGAATATTTTTTTTTTTTTTTTTGTAATCAGTGGCCCAAAACTGTCTCTTATATTTAGAAGCCTGGATCTAGGATTACATATCAAGAAACATGCATAATGCTGTTTTGCTGAATGCAGCTGTCCTAGCAGAGGCCAAAGATAATTTGCTGATCCAGGAGCTGAGGCCAGCGAATTTATGTCTGCATCTGCTTCTGCCCATAACTCTTGGGTAAAGATAGGGCAACTTCAAGGACTGTAGCCGTATCCGCCTTAGCAGTGCACAGAATGCTGGTACAGGGACATTTTCTCCCTGAGGCTACCTCCCCCCACCTTGGATGTAGCCAGTGGCACCTCCTGCAAAGACTGCAGAACACCGTTCATGCCTGTCTTAGCATCCTCACGTTTTCTCCTCATTGTTGACTATGTGTCTGCTCCTCACTGCGGACTCTTCCCAGGGTGTCTCTTGATCATACTGGAATCTGCAGAGCCTAGCCCATGGTCGAACAGGTGCTCTGTAAATAACGATCAAATGAGGGAGTGGATGAGAGTGACAACAGACTGGGGAGATGGTTTGAAACACTTTTACATTACTTTTTTTTTTTTTAAGATTTTATTTATTTATTTGACAGAGACACAGCTAGAGAGGGAACACAAGCAGGGGGGAGCGGGAGAGGGAGAAGCAGGCATCCCACCGAGTAGGGAGCCCGACATGGGGCTCGATCCCAGGACCCTGGGATCATGACCTAAGCCGAAGGCAGATGCTTAATGCCTGAGCCACCCAGGTGCCCCGCTTTTACATTACTTTTGTCCTTGCTTGTGGCAGCCATAGTAAGGAGCAGAAAGCCTAATGCAGACAGTGGTTGTTTCTTCTGTTTAGCTTCTATCTCTCCTTCTTCTGGTAAAAGCACTTTGGTTTTCCTTTGGGAAACCATCCTTCCCACTCCCTCAATCCATAAAGTTTGGGCGGAGCTGACCTCACCCTCAGTTCCACTGGCTGAATTGTGCGCCGGGCCTGGGCTTGGCCAATGAGAGTGCCACACAACCCTGGCCACGGATTCAATTTGTGTTGGAAGGGTGGCCACACCTGTTCGTTAATGGCTGGTATCCATACTGACGGACTGGTTCTCGTTCTGAGTCAATTTTGCATTATTTCAAATCAAACCTGACCCCCCCCACCTCCATAGCTATTAGGGGAAAAACACTTCATTTCCGCCGCATCGCTAAGCTGATGGGAGAAGCCGGAAGCTGGTTGCAGCCATCACGAAACCAAAATGAACTCAGGAAGCTGAAGCTGAGAAATAATAGGGAGAAGAAGTTCTTAATGCTGAGCACTGAGATCCAGCCAAGCCTGAAGCTATTTCTGAAAATTTCAGTTAGAGGAACCAGTAAACTCTACTTTTTGTTCTAGCTTTTTTTTTTTTTTTTTTTTGGTCACTGGCTGCTAAAAGTGTCCTCTGGCTGATACACTTGGTCAGTCTTTTTTCTAACTTTTTTGGAGTGGAGCAAGGATGATCTCAGCCTTGCAGGAAGCCCTGGAGAAGACTATCACCCCACTTTATCAATATGAAAGCTCTCTGCCGGGTCCTGAGGGCCCAGCAAAAATCAGGCCCCCCTCTGGGTCCCAGGGATCTCACTTAGTGATTTCAGTGAGAGGAACATTTTCAGTGCCTCCTGGGAGGGCATTTCTGAGTCGACACCTCCTTAGCCCTACCCCCAGCTTCTCTGTGTTCCTCCCTACAGGCTTAGGCTGGGATCCAGGAGCCCACTGTGGTTATGGGAGTCTCCAGAAGGTTGGGAATGTCAAGAAAACGCAACTTACACACCATGGTAAACAGGCTTACTTAAAACCATTTTTATTCTGCCTCTCAGTAACACTTCTCATTTGATTTGGGTAAAAGATCAGGGACCTGAACACAAACAAACAAGAAACAAAATGTCTGAAACAGAAACCGGGACCCAATACACTGGAATGATGCTAGGATCCCTGCATGCTGAGAATTCGTGGCCCTGATTCCGTTTCCTCCTGGGACAAGTGCTGGCTCATGGCAGACATCCAGGTGAAAGGGCCCATGGCATCTGATGTCCATCAACATTTATTGTTTTGCTAGTTTCCAGGATTTTAACAAACAGCCTGAGATTCATAGTAATCTAAGAACAATGCTTTGTATTTGTGTAGCACTTAGAATCTCCCTCCAGGGGCATTCCTATCTATTACGGCGATTAATTCTCTTAATAACGCTCTGAGGTATGTAGGCAGGTGTTCTTATGTCCATTTTCCAGATGAAGAAATCTGAGGCACAGAGAGGCTAAGAAACTTGCCTAAAATCAGCTTGCATAGGGAGTTAGTGGCAAAAAAGGCACTGGGACGCAGGTGTTTTCTCAGCCTCGTTTATTCACTTAGAATAAGCTGCCTTTTCTCTTGCTTAGGAAAGTTCATTTTTACTGTGTTTCTCATATGCGTTCTTGAAGTTATTTTTGCCATATATACATATCACCTGTTTTGTTAACCCCTTGATATTTTCTTAGAGTCCATCTATTTTTCTTAAGTAAATTTATTTGAATAGAAACAATAGGTCACATCCCTATGGGGAAACTGTAAATGGAAGGTAATTAATAAAAGAAATACAACAAAAACAGGACTATGCTATTGAGTTCTATCTCGACTTTGAACCTGAGGCCTGCTCTTTCTTTATGAAGAAGGGAAAAGAGCTAAAGTCACGGAAAGGTGTTGAGGACCCATGCTCACTAAACAGAGGCTTTCTCTTTGCTGTAATCAGCATTGGACAAGACTAGAAAAGGGGAAAAATACTTTGTGATTGGCATCACTTAATGTTGTCTATAACTGACTTAAAAATTATCTTGAGTACCACCAGCCATACGCCGTGCATTCTGTGAAACACTGGGTTGGCGTGTTCTGGTAGGCAGAATAAGGGCATAATTAAATCAGTACAATCACACCTAACGGGGTTACATTTGACAGAAAAGAAATACAGTGGGTGGCATTTCCAGGTTGGCATCCAGGAAAATAAAAGATGGTGCCTGAGACTTGCTAAAAAAAGAGAGAGAGTTTGAAAAAAAGCACATTCCATAAGATACAGCCAGCTTATTCCCAAAACTGGGATGGGGAAGGTGCTCCTGTACCTAGAATTGACCATTAAGTACATTCTCAGAGTCTTTAAGTGAAGTGAGGTGCCCAGCGGTGGATGCAAGCAAGGGAGGGGACTGTTGGAAGATTGAGGTCAGGACAAAAGGCCAGAAAGCCCCTTCTTTAGTTTCTTTGGGGACTGATTGAACTCTGGGGGTTGTGGCAGGGAGCAGCTGATGGAGGAGGGCCCACTAACTCTGACATGTAAAAATAAAAGGAAAAAAAATGCACAAATCCCACTCTGTCGGACAACTTGAAACATGCTGCAAATGTTCATGCTCGACTTTGCAGACACCAGCCTCCATTGCTCTTCCTAGGACCTTTGGCCCCCCACCAGATCTGGATCCCCCTCCCCCGCCATTAGAAATACTGAGATTTCCTGAGGCTCATCTCTGCAGAAGAGGAATGGACACAGAGGCTTTCACTAAACTCAGACAGTGAGACTTGAGGTTTTCTTTTTCTTTTTCTTTTCTTTCTTTCTTCTTTTTTTAATCAGTGACTGGCTGGTCTTGTTGCGCTGCTTGGTTTTCCTTAATTTTGGACTTTTTTCCTTTTCTTTCTTTTCCTTTCTTTCTTTTTTTTTAAAGTTCATTTGCCAGGGACCTGCCTCTGGAGAGTCCTGGAGGAAGAGATCTCACGGTCTGAAGTCAAGGGTCCATTCCTCAGAAACTCCTGTGGGGTATGTGTGGATGAGTTCCATCCTCCATGCTTGCGGCCGACTGCTGGCCGCTCAGGCACTGTGTGGGACAAACAGATAGTGAGAAAGAGAGAGAGAGCCGGCCCGAGCCTTCTTGGCCCAAGGGCTTCCATTCTCTGTAGGAGATGTCCAGCACTGACCTTGGACCAGTGCATCTGCATACTTTCGAGTCTAAGCACTGGCTTCCTTTTGAGAAACGTTGTATCTGGAAACATATTTGCTTTTACACGTGGTGCATGCAAAAAAACCACAAAAACCCATAATGATACAGATGCAAGGAAATGCTTCGTGAGCATTTCTGAACTTCATTCTCCTCAAGGGCTAGCAGCATCGTTAGGATTTGGTGTGCATCCTCTAAGCGTTTTTCTCTGCAGTTAAATCCATAAGTGTGCACTCAGAAATTCATCTTGTGTGTGTTTATATAAATGGGATAATGCTATACCCATATATGGTATCTATCATATCTATAAGATATATATATATTAATTCATTAGTTTATTCAATAAATATTTACATGCCAGGCAGTGCTCTAGATGCTGGTGATGACAAGTGTCCCACAGTTACATGGTGAGTACCATGTGTCAGGCACCGTGCTTTACACAGTTTAGTCTTCACAGTCCTGTGGGCTAGGTACTGTTTTATCCCTATTTTACTGACGAGAAAACTAAGGCACAGACTGGTTAAAAGTCGTGCCCAAGAGGACACAGCTGCTTAGATGTAGAACCTATATTTAAACCCCAACAGTTTAGCTTCAGAGTGAGCACCCTGATGTGTTATGCTCTATCCTTATGGGCAATGACAGAAATGAAAGTGTGTTTGGTTTTCATCCCAGTAGGAGGAGATAGACCATAAAAGTATATATGATTATATGTATATTAATACATAAAATGTATAATTATATATTAAATATTTGGTTTCTCAGGGAGTGGTAAGTACGGAAGGAAAGTAAAGTTGGGATAAGGGGACCAAGGGAAGGAGGGCGGGGCTGTGGGTGCTATTTTAGAGAAGTTGGTCAGGGGTAGCCTCTCCGCTAGCCTATGAGCAAGCATCTCAGGGAGAGATGCAGAACAAGCCACGTGGATATTAGAAGGAAGAAAATTCTAGGTAGAGGGATGGGCAAGTGCAAAGGCCCTGTGGCAGGAGCATACTTGTGTTGCTCAAAGAAGAGCGAGAATTCAGTGTAGCTGAAGTAGAGGAGTGAGGGGCTGTGTGCTGGAAGATTAAGACAGAGAGGCAGCAACCAGATCATGTTGGGCCTTATAAAGCTGTAGTATGGGAGATTATCCATATTTAAGGTGCAGTGTGGTACTCCATCCTATGAGTAAACCACTGTGTATTTAATCATTTTCCCACCGATGGTCATTTAGGTCGTTTCATGGTTACCTCTATTTAAAACAGAGCTGCAGTGAACATCACTGCATATCCTTGGTTCTCCACCCTTGCTAATTAGAATCCTCTGGAGAGCCCTAAAACCTACCAATGCCTGGCCCTATCACTGGAGATTCTAATTTAACTGATCAAGGGTGGGCCCTGGACATTGTTGTTTCTTTGTTTTTGTTTTTTTTTAAAGCTCCCCAGGTGATTCTAATGTGTAGCTAGGGAAGAGAGCCACTGTTCTACATCCTTTTTGTGCACCTGTATCTAGGGAGGATACCCAGAAGTAGAATTGCTGTGTGGGTGGAGAGTGGATTTTAAAGTTTAATAGGTGTATCCAACTTGATTTCCCAAAGACTGTCCCAATTTACTCTTCCACCAACAGTGTTGTATCTAATTCTTCACACTCTCACCAACCTTGATATTATCCATCTTTTTTTTTTTTTAAGATTTTTTATTTATTCATTTGAGACAGGGAGATACAGAGAGAGAGAGAGCGCATGAGCAGGGGGAGAGGCAGAGGGAGAGGGAGAAGCAGGCTTCCCGCTGAGCAGGGAGCCCGATCCCAGGACCCTGGGATCATGACCTGAGCTGAAGGCAGACGCTTAACCACCCGAGCCACCCAGGCGCCCGATATTATCCATCTTTTTAATTGTTTCAATCTGGCAGACAAAAAAAAGTCTATCATTGTTTTAATTTGTGTTGCTCTGGTTACTGGTAAGTAACATCTTTTTCATGTTTTTTTTGATTTCCCTGTCAAAGTCCACCAGTTTATATCCTTTTCAAAGCCAGAATCTTTCCATTGTTGATGATGACTCAGAAGTGACTTCTGGAAGTAGGTGATGTTCCCCATTTTTCATTATGGAATCACAAGAATTCTCTGAAGACACATCTATGCAGAACAATCCCCAGAAAGTTTTAGTCCAACCAATCATGTAGGAAAGAAGATGGATTTGCTTTTACGTTTTTGCAAAAACGCCACCTTCTTGCTTCTTGCCCACCTTGATACATATGCTTACTTCCAATCCTAATGCAATTGAAGGATATTTTGAGGCCAGCAAAGGATTCATGCCAGTTTGTTTGTAAGACAGACTGGCTTTACCAGTGCATAATGGGTTAATAATATCTGCTAACTTTGTGTCTGCTAATGGGAGGCTGTCATGGGATCCTTAATCCAGTTAGGAGGTTACGTTCTTCCTTAATGCAAACTTTGGAGTATGAAGGCTTTTATTGCTAAGAATGACAAACAAGCATTTTTAATACATAGTAGGGGTGTGCCTGGCTATTTAGATACCTATAGCCAGAGATGTAAGTTCAGTGGAGTTGCATTGTACGTGCATTTAACTTACGGTGAATGAACCATTCATGTTTCTCAAAAAGAAAAAAAAAAGTAGTTGTTTAAATGGAGCTGGAGATTCTGACCTCATGAGCATGGATGGGTATATGACTCCTATTCTTTCCGTGTGAGCTTGGAGCTTGGTTCCGGTGTTGAACATATGCCATGATCCCTAAACAGCCAACTATTTCAGCCGGTGCTCAACCCAAGGAATGTCATCTCTTCCAACACTGGTGGGAACATTGGCTCTGTTGGGCTGACCAGTTACAGGCTGTGAATCTCTAATAGGGCATCCCCCTATGGATGCTTCCAAGATGAATTTTGATTATCCTCAAAGTTCACACGATGCCCTGACATTAGAACCTCACCCCGGAGTAAGATGAAAGTGCCCTGAATGTCACGTGTCATATTTGTGGTAGACAGTACTCATCTGCCTTACATCCAAGCTTTGTCATGGTCAACTATTTTTGCTGCTAAGAAAGTCCCACTGAATTCTACAAGGCATCAGATATGTGACCGTGAACTTGATCATGAGGAGAGAGTGAGGAACAAACCTGGGAGTTGTGTAAAGTTTCTAGGAGTAGGGAGGAAGCAGCAGTAGCTGAAGCTTCTACCAGGCATCTTAGGGATATAAAAAAGTCCTGTTTTGTGGCATATATTCACACAGGCAAGAAGGTTCTCTGTTAAATGCAAAGCCCTAGAACAGTGGTTCTCCAACTTCAGAATACCTAGAACTATTTTGTGGGGCGAGGAGTTGCTTGTGATAATGCATATTTCAGGGCCACTCAGGGTCTTGATTGGAGGCCAGGAATCTGCATTTTCACAAACATCCCAGCTGAATCTGTCATAGGTGGCTCCGAAACTTTGAGAATAACCTCACTTTGCTTGAATCCTCAAGGCACCAGCAGAAAGTAAAAGCCTGCAGACAGGTTGATTTAGGCTGGGGACGTGAATGATTCGATCAATAAAGAGACGGCAGCAATATTTAAATGTTTGGGCTCTGTGCGATTCATTTCTCCACTTTCCCTAGCAGCTGGAGAGCAGGGAATTTTCTGGCTTGGAGAGCCTGCAAGTCTCTGATTCCGTTGGCACCAGAATACTTCTCTTCTGAGAGCACCGCCTTCTATTCCAAGTTGTTGAATGTTTTAAGGTCAGTGATTCCCAGTCTTTATGGATTTGATGTCACAAAACTCTTTGCTCCAACTGCCACATGGCTTGCAGAGATATCCTGTGAAATTAGGATGAATGAGACCTTTTTCTGAGTTTGGATAAAGACTCTGATGACCCCAATCTGTCCACCTGGAATTTCCATCATCTGGGGGAGAAGAGAGATGGGTTACAGTGCTCTCGATAAGGATACAGAGTAATTTTTTCTTTTTTTCTTTTCTTTTTTTTTTTTTTAAGATTTTATTTATTTATTTGACAGAGAGAGACACAGCGAGAGAGGGAACACAAGCAGGGGGAATGGGAGAGGGTTAAGCAGGCTTCCCGTGGAGCAGGGAGCCCGATGTGGGGCTCGAACCCAAGATGCTGGGATCATGACCTGAGCCGAAGGCAGACGCTTAACGACTGAGCCACCCAGGTGCCCCACAGAGTAATTTTTTTTAAAAGGCAGGGGCTTCGGGATTAGTTACAGTGTTGCTGATAAGGATAAAGAATACATTTTTTTTTTTTAAAAGGCAGGACCTCATAGTTTTAAAAAGGCAGTCATTTACTTCAAACAGTTTTTTGAGTGAAATTCAGAAAAGTCACCTATTCAAGGCTTTTTGTCTCCTGTTCAGAATGGGGTTCTCTAACGTTAGGCTTCCCCAGGCCCTCTCAGTAGAAACCCTGACTGCCTTGAGGTTTGTTGCAAAAGAGCCTCCCTGTGGGTGGGTAGGCCCGGCTCTTTGGTGGTAACTTGACTCCCCTCCTTGGCAACAAGTGAGACATAACACATTTCGGGTGATGAGTTTGCTGATGGAAATGAAGACTGGCCACTCTGTTAAAGGCTAGCTTCTGTTAGTGCATTCTTTCTTTTGGGTTCGGGAGGGAGGATGTTGGGTAAAAAGTGTTGTGCGGACCACCTGCATCCAAACCCCAGGGTGGGAACGGGGAGCTGAAAAATGCAGATTCTGGGGCCTCGCTTCTGATTTAATGACTTAGAATCCTTTGAGATGAGGCCCCGATGTCACCTTCTTTTAAACCTCCCCAGGCAACTCGCATGCAGCTCAAAGTTAGGGAACTTCTGCCTTAGTAATTCTACATTGCTGCTCAATTCCTCCCAGGGCTGAGAAATTTTATTTCAAAGGATTACTGAGAAATTGGCCTGTTATTGGTCTTAACGGAAGATAGAATTGATTTCATTCTCTAAGGGCTAGTTTCTTGCTCTCTCTTACACACACACACACACACACACACACACACACACACAACAAAGCCTTTAAATTTAAGTTTCTCCATGGGATTCTAACTCTGGAAAATATTTTTTGTTTTCTTTGATAACATGGAGGGAAAGGTATCTAAAAGGAACCCGACCGTACAGGTGGGGAAGTGATTCTAGCCTCACTTTACAGATAGGGAAACTGGCTGAGAGAGTTTAGTAACTTGCCAGGGTGGTCTGCGTGGTGGAATTAGGATTTGAATTCTGGTGAAGCCGGAGCTGAAGTTTAGGCTCTAGCCACCATGAAACAGTGCTTCTTAGGAAGAAGGGATGGAGGGGATGACTTCATCTCGGATCATTTATGACTGCTAACAAAACATCAGTCTCAAGCATATCCACATCGATGCTTTGTCTCCAGATAGAAACATTGATAATAAGAATGGAGAAAGTCCCCACATATGAAGACTTCTGGGTCCCTTGTAAAACTTCTTAGATGGTGTCTAATGGGCAAACTGATCTCTGAAAGCCAAATTGCCTGCCAGAGACTGCAAAGTAGAGAATGTCCAGTCTGGAGATGTGGTTTTTGTATGTTTTTTCCATTTTTGGCCCTCACCATGTGCTTAAATACTGTGAATTGGTTGCCAACATCTACAAGCCAGGAGATCTGAGATGAAAACCTAGCTTTCCAATGTCTTTTGAAAAATGGGCTCCATGGGGTCTGCATTCTAAGTGGTCACAATCAGCTGGACTGTGCTCTGGAACATCACCAGTCCCCACCACTCCCTATAGTACCATAACCAGCCTGCCCCATTCATGCACGTTCCTTGCGTACCACCTGCAGTGTTTTGATTTTGTTACCCTTGGTGCTGTCTCATCACACATATTTTTTTTTGCAGGTTGAAACCTCCCCATACCACCCCCATATAAATCAGTTCTGGAGGTAGCCACAAGGCGAGTGCTATCCACTGGTTTTTGTTATGGAGTGTACTAGTTATTGGCTTAGAGGCAGTGTGGCATTGTGAAGAACACAGCTTACCAGCTCTCAGAGCCAGATTATCCCAGGTTAAACCCTGCCATTTTTGCTAACTACCTGTGAGACATCAGGCAAGTTATTTGTTTCCTTATCTGCAAAATGAGCATAATAATACCTACCTCATGGGGTTGCTGTGGGGATTCAATGGGGATTAATTCACGTAAGAGCTTAGACAGTCAGCAGGGAGTCTGCTTCTCCCTCTCCCGCTGACCCCTCTTGTGCTCTTTCTCTCTCTCACTCTCTCTCTCAAATAAATAAATAAAATCTTTAAAAAAAACCCCAAAAAACAAAAAACAAAACTAAGAGCTTAGACAGTCGCTGGCCTATGCCAAGTTCTATGTCAGTGTCAGCTGCTATTATTATAACCCAGTTCAACACTGATCTGGGCAGTATGTATTTTCACAAGTTCCCAGGAGTCAGGCCAAGACTTGGCCTCGTTCCCCTGGAACACCGTCCTTTGAACTTAGCTCATGAGCACAAAGCCTTGAACTCTATTTGGTAGTATCTTAAATTCTGAGGTTCTCTCCCAGCCGGGTTGATAACTGATAACAGTAGTAATAATAGGGTTAGTAAATGGTTTGCATTTTTTGTGTACCAACAAAGGAACAGACACCGTGCTATATGCATGCAGGTTGTCTAATTAACCTTCACAATAGCTTTATTCCATGGGTACTGCTATAATACCCATTTTACAGATGAAGAAACTGAGGTTTAGCACTTGGCTGAGGGTCTCACAGTCAGTAAATGGCAGAGGGGAGGCTGTGCCCAGGAAATCTGGTGCCAAACCTGCATTATAATACCTATAATACCTTTAACTCCACACTCCACAGCCCCATGCTCACATGCAAGCACACAATGCCTTCCTTAAAGAATAAAGTTGGGATATCTGTTTTCTGACCATCTTCTTCATAGGCCAACATCGTCCATTTTCCATCTTGTAGGCAAGACACCTTGAGCTTCCTTTGATGTTCTAGTGTCCTTTTCTCCTCTCTGTGGTCAAAGCCATCTATTTTTTCCTTTGCGGCACTTTCTGTCTTTGCAACTGCCCCTCCATCCAGCTGCCCCGATTGCTCCTGGGTCTGGCTTGTCTGATAGGAAGTTGACCTCCTGTGACATTGTACTACCTTCTTGGCTGCCCAGGTTGGCTTGGCCGATCTGGCAGGCTCAGGATGTCCCCTCCCTCTCTCGCCCACCAGGTGAGCCTTTCCTGAGACCAAGCCAAAGGGGCTGACCTTCTCAGCTTGAGGGAAATGGTGTATGGCTCACTGAACTGCTCTGGCAGAAGAGCTAGAGGATGTATCAGAATCCTTATCGGCCTTGCCAAGAGTGACATACACTGCGATGGATCTGGGCTTGTCGTTTCCGGGCCTTGGTCATCCATACCAAGACCTTGCCCTCTGTCAGCCCTCTGATGGGAAGTGTCAGTGATTCTAGCAGATTCAGCCCATCTCAGCTGGCTCGAGAAATCAGGATAAATTTGTCCAAATCCGGAGAGAAATAGCAAAGGCAGCCATCTCTTGATGGGATGAGAGCACGTTGGCAATGCGAAAAATATATTGTCGCCCTTCTGCCCTTAGGCTAAGAACAGGTAGGCCAGTTGAGTCAAAATCATGAAATCATTTAGCAGATCAGATGGTAAGGCCAAGCAAGCAATAACCCTAATATCCCATTGATTCCCCCACGTTTCCCTCTGTCTTACAAAGAGGTGAAACTGTGTAACTGGTTTTAGCTAGTAAACTGTGAGCCTAAGGGACATTTGTTACTCCACGACTGAGGCAGTGCAAATCCATGTGGGATTCTCCGGTCCTCTCTCCTCTCTCAGAGATTGGAAAACTATGTCCCCTGGGCCAGATACCTGTTTTTGTAAATAAAGTTCTATTGAACACAGCCATATTCATTCATTTGCATATTGTATATGGTCACTTTTGTGCTAAAATGGCAGAGTTAAGGGGTCACATGAGATGGTGATGGAGGCTGACGATATTTACTGTTTGGCCCTTTGTAGAAAAAGTTTGTTGATCCCTGTTCTAGCTAGAGCAGCTGGAGGGCAGCGGGGCTTTGGATAGCCTGGGCCCTAAGTGACTGGGTAGAAGAGAGACCCTCCACAAAGCACCATGGCTTGGGTACCCCCAGGGAAGTAAAAATGAGAACTCTTTGGTTTGGGATTGTTTGCTCCTGGATCATAACCTAACCTGTCCTCGCAGATTGCGATGGGCATTCAGGAGAAGGCATTCTACATCGGGAGGGATTCAAAAAGCCTACTTACTTCCTTGTGAAGTGAACTGCACAAGAAATACCGATGATGAGAAGGCCAATAATGATGGATGCGATGGCCACCCACTTGGCATTCCTCCCGAGCCGCTTGGATCCTTCGATGTCTCCATCGTTGTAGCTGTTCAGAGACTGGGGGACACAAAGGAAGAGCTGGTGATGACAGACAACCCACAGGGAAAGACATGCGCTCCTCAGGCTGATCTGAGCAGGCAACATTGTTATCACCGCCTCCAGGAAGCCTTCCCTGGACTCCTGGGCTAACTTCCTTCCCCTTCTGGATTTCCCGATTACCTTCGTCTTAGTATTTACCCTAGCACATTAAAAGGATTGCTTTGGCCTCTCCCATTAGAGTATAAGTGCTACGTGGGACCATTTACCTTTTGTTCAGTAAGGTTTCCAATGCCCAGTGCCATATTTGTCATGCAGAAGACGCTTGATAAATATTTGTATAATGAACAGGTATGCATGCGTCATCCAGCAGAATGGGCTTTGCAAACCCTGGTCCATGGGCCAAATCCAGCCTGCTGTTTTTATAAATGAACTTGGTTTGGAACACAGCCACACTCATCTGTTTAGAATTGTCTGTGGCTGCTTTTATGCGACAACAGAGTTATGTAGCTAGATCAGAGGCCATATGGCCCTCAAGGCCCGGTCCATTACAGAAAAAGTTCACCTCTCCTGCACTAGATGTTCAGTGCACAAGGTCAGGGACCTTGGCTGAACTGTTTACCCTCTATCCCCGAGCCAAGCTGTCATTCAACGGGTACTTACTCTATATGGCTTTCCCAGCCGGGAAAACACCGATCTACTTCTGTACTGGCTGGTAAAGAGCAGCGACCCCTCCCCAATATCCCAGCCATCCTGGCCACCCCACCTCTGAATCCCTGCAGACTTCCCCATGATCCAGCTACTTAAGGGTTACCACTTGGCCCAGCAGAATATCCTTCCTGATTGAAATTTTGTTGAATATTTGAATACTTGTTGAATATTTTAAATATCGCCTCTGTTGCTTGTACTTTGAGCATATTGGTATACTGGTATATTGGAGGGACTCAAGAAATAGGTATTTGCTAAGTGGGTGAATGAATATATCCATTTCCCTACAGGATGTGAGTTCGTTTGGGGGCAAAGTGGAGGTGCTCAGAGAATGTTTGCTGCTGAGCGGATGGCCAGGACAGCTGAACAATCTTATAATAAGCCCTCTTTATCATAACTCCCATTGCTGAGGCTCCCCCCAAAGTTCTGCTGCTGCTGAAAGAAGACTGGAAATACGTATTTATGAGTTACGGACAGAGGTTGATGAGTGCGGGTGAATTTTAGGTTTCATTGGGAACCTCTATTCTTGATGCTGAAATCACAGCATGTTGGTAATAATTGCTCCTCTTCCTGGACTATTAAGGGGGATTAGGCACATGCAGACAATTACAAGCCAGGGAAATACCCAGTATATCACTGAGCTTTCCACTTCCAGAACCTTCCATTAATTCTTGGATTCTGGCCACCTTCGCAACAAGCTGGGGGCCTCGACAGTGAAGGGGGCTTGTGTGCAGGCATCTGGTGCGAATGGGAAGGCAGGGACCTGCAGTGACGTCCAGAACTTAGAGCAGGAAGAGTTCCAGAATTCTGAGTCCTGAATTCTGGAGTGCTTGCTCAACCCTGAGTATTTATTAGAAACACCTGGCTAGTGTTTGTTTGTTTTAAATACAGATAGTTGTCCTGGAGAGATTCTGATTTAACTGGTGTGGGGACCAGATACCAGTTTTCTAAAAAAAAAATTGTGGTAAAATATACATAAAATTTACGATTTTTACTATTTTTAAGTGACTAGTTCAGTGACATTAAGTGGCACTCACATTGCTGTTCAGCCATCCCCACCATCTGTTGTCCCAAAGTGAAACTCTGTTCCCATTAAACCCTAACTCCCTATTCTTCCATCCCCTAGCACCTGGCAACTGCCATTCTGTTTTCTGTCTTTATGGATTGCACCACTCTAAGTACCTCATATAAGTGGAATCCTACAATACTTGTCCTTTTGTGTCTGGCTTATTTCATTTAGCAGTGTCCTCGGGGTTCATCACTGTTGTGGCGTGGGGCAGGATCTCCTTCCTTTTTAAGGCTGAATAGTATTCCACTGTATGTGTAATATCACAGTTCATTTATGCATTCATCCGTCGAGGGACACTTGGGTTGTTGCCATGGCATTTTTTTTTCTAAGCTTCTTAGGATTGAAAACCTTAGGTCTAGACAGCTATTTTTAATGCCCTGCACAGTCAAGGTGCCCACCGCCTTAAGATTTATTCCGAGGAAGTGTGTAACAGAGCATGGGCTCTAAGCTCAGAGAGCTGAGTTCAAATTCCATGTGTTAGCCGCTATGAGAATGAGAGCAAGTTATCAAGCTTTCTGAGCCTTGGTGTCCTCATCTGTAAACTGGGGGCAATAGTAATAGTACCTCCTTCCAGTGGAGGAGCCAACGAGTTAATGCATGCAAAGTGGTTAGCATTGCCCTAGCACATAGCATGTGCGCCATAAATGTTAGCTTTTATTGTGAATTGCCACCATCTGTCTGTTCTTCCTCCAACACTGAGGTCTTTGGGGTGCAGGAGACTCATCTGGGCTACTTATCAGAATCATAGATGATCAGGCTCTGCCCCTTGCTGGAGCAGCATCATTGAGGACATAAGTTTGAGAAACTTTGTTTTAGAGTCTTCATGATCAAAGTCACTACGTAGACCCCCAAATTCTGAGCTCACAATCCAGCTTATTTCTTTTTTAATTTTTATATTTTTCACAATCCAGTTTAAAGTTATGTAGACTTGGATGCTCCTAAAGTGATCATTATCCTATTGTGCTGCTTTGGAAAACGCAGTTCCGAGATGCGCTTCGTCATGGCAACGCACTCGTGTTGCTGTAACCAGAGGAAAAATAACGAGACCCCTCCCACCCCCAAATATTGTCAACTCCTGGCTGTTTGGATGAAAAAACCAGTTTCATGTTCTCAAGTGGGAAGAATAGCAAGTCTGTGCCATACCGAGGGGTACATCTCTATCTGTGCCATGAGAACAGGTGAGATGGGGGCTTCTTGAGCTACTTGTTTACTACAGGTTAGCAGGGCCATACTGGTGACCTGGCCGAGGGGGATTTGGGTGCAAGCCATCAGTAAGTCTTGCTCACCCTTCATTACTTGCTGCCGGTCTGGCATCTTGTATGTGACCCTTCTCTCTGCAAACCACCCTCTCGCTGGGGCTCCTAAAGGACATGCTGAGTCGTCTAGGAATGAGGCCATGGTTGGCTTGAAAAGCAGATGAAAGCCTCTTTCAGTATCCACTGTGGACTCTCCTCCCCCCATGAGTTCTCTTATGAATCCATTTCCTCCTCTGGGCCTTAAAGAAGGGGCTGCCCAGGGGCAAATCTGCTGGGGAAATGTAAGGATGTGGAGAGATGAGGGTGGGGACGTTAGAACTCCCAGATTTCGCTCTGAAGGACTTCACTGGTTGAGGAATCTCAGGGTTTGGGGTGGAGATCTAACAAAGAAGCGAGAAGGAATTAATGCTCCCCTCCCCCATTCATTGGCTGTCATTCTTTTCCCTTCCCAATTGGAATTGCGTGCTAAGGATCTCCTGGCAGATGCTACAGACTGAAGTGGTGGAAATGGGTTGTAGAGAAAATGCATGGCTTATAAATCTTTTTCTGAAGAGCTTAGAAAGCAAACTATCCCATCTGCTGTGCGAGAACTAGAAAGAAACGGGATGGCTTAGATATTTAACATTTATATGATCTTATTAGTTCTTTTACATATTACAGATGTAATTTGTGATCACATAAAGCATTCGAATGCTACCGAAGCATCCAGTAAATAGTAAGCTCTTCTCATCTTATTTCCAAGAGATAACCATTGTTCGCAGTTTGGTACCTTTGCTTCTAGATCCCCCCCACCCCAGGAATAATATGAAAGGAAAACTGACACTTTCTTGCTTCCATTATGGCTAAGCACATCATGTGTCTCAGTCAAGATAAAGAAACAGCAGTTTGCACCCTGAGATAACCCAAGAATACAGAGTCGGTCTGTTGAGCCCACATCCCTCCAATATTAAAACCTTGAGTATTTCCCATCAGTCTTGGCAAAGACAACTTCATCTCTGCCTTGTGCGATGTCGGTGCCCAAACGTAGGTCACTTCCTTTGTGGATATTGTAATCTCTTGAGAAAGATACTGTTTCGCTTTGTTAAGTTTTTAAATCATGAACAGACTACTGTATAACTTGGTAACCTTGGCAATTTTGCATTTGTTTCCTTTAAATACTTGTGTTGTGCTTTTATTCGTCTAGCTGGTCCTTTTGAAGTTGGACTTCTTTGCATTTCTTTCCAAGTGAAATTTTTTCTTTTCTAAATGTTTTGGTCTCTGAGTCTTTCTTTGACATAACTAATAGCAGGTAACGTTTATTGAGTATTTATGTGTGCCAGGCACTGTGTTAAGGATTATCTCAGTAGTCCTCATAACAAGTCTGTGAGGTAGAGTTTCCATATTACTCATGGGAAAATTGAGGTACAGAGAAGTTAAAATGATTTGCCCAGAGTCACATAGCTAGTTTGGTAAAATGTGTATGCATGTATACGAATGTTTATTGGTTAAATGTAGTTCTTCTTGATATACTTATTTCCTTTGTTCAGTTTTCTGTTAGTTTGTCTTTTTCTTATTGATTTGTGAGAACTTTTTATATATTGTAGATCAGCATTGTACAGTAGAAATATAATGGGAGGCATGTATGTGACTTTAAATTTTCTAGTTGCCCCATTAAAAAATAAAAATAAATAGGTGAAAATAATTTTTATATTGTATTTAAAAGTGTATGTGCGCACACACACACACAGAGTTTTTTGTTTGTTTTCTGTTTATTCCAAAGTTATGAATAATATTATACTATATCTGTTCTGCAACTTGCGTTTTTCCACTATTATAGCGGGTGTGCCTTTTCAAGCTAGTGCTTCTAGGTCTATCTCTTTCTTTTTTTTTTCCCTCCAGGCATGATTTAAAATAACAAGTTATACTGATAGAGTTCCTAATTCTTGCCTCCTTGGGGGAAAATCTTAAATTGTCATGGTGCTTGTTGTTATTGTTTTTTAGGTAGGTAA